GACCACCAAGTGAAAACAAGGTGTTGCAAGGTATAATGTTGATGATTCAATGGGTGGCATTCTTCCCTTTAAGGCCACGATTCTGCAAAGATTGGTGCATGTGTGTAATTCTACACAAGTGAGTAGTCCAGTTGGGTTTGGTGGGGTTACTCCTGAGTATAGTTAACGTATGCATAAGTTTTTGCAGGATCAGGGCTTGAGGTTCGGATCCTGGCTTGAGAACAGCGGAAATGCATGAGTGTGTCCACATGGAGTTCTTTTACTTCAGTAGGACTCTGTGCACATGTAGGCAGTTCTCAATGCAAATCAGGGCCCAAGTCTACGGTACCAATGCCAGCATATTGTTAAGGAAAACATGAGCCCTAGAGGGTATGTTTTTCAGACGAGATGTAAAGTCAAGGCTTTGCAATCTTTAAAAGTCTTTTAAACAAGATTGCTGGGGTGTCTGTCCTGGGTTTATTAGCACGTTAGATGATTATATTCCTCCTGCTTACATGACCCATCACATCTTGACTAACGTGGTATTCTTCTTCGCTTACTGACATTAAAACTGTGGTGTAATTTTGAATGTGTTATCACAGTAGCTGACATGTTCTGTTCCACAGATAACTGTATTTCAACCCGTAGTTAAGGTTGTGTCACAACTTCTGCTTAACAATTGACCTTTCCAAGTCCTCTACAATCAATATGCTTAGTCAGATTCTTTTGAAAGTTGGAGGATGCAGGGTAGGGTGAGTGACCCAAATTGGGGTCATTTGAACTTGGGGATACAGAGATATAAGCCCCCTAAAAATAGCCATTTTTCAGAATGTTTCTAGTTGTTTTTTTGTTAGCAAAGCTACAGGTCAAACTATTAATATTATGTGGCCTCAATCTGTTGAGCTTTTCCCAAGATAATGTATGGCATCCACTAAATCTTTGGGGACCCAAGTTGAGAACGGTACTGGAGAAAAAGTACATTTTTACAGTGCGCATGCGCCAATACAGAAAAATGACTAGAATTCCCTTACCGCCATTTTGTATGCTTTAAATCTCAGCTCTTGTATGTGCTCTAAAATCTGAATGGTTACTCCAATTGCTTTGACATTTGGTGTGTCACATGAAGGCCCGGTGTAGCGTTAGTGATCCAAATTTGGGATCATGTGACTAAGGGGTTCCCAAGTTACTGGCCGCCCAAAAAATTGGTTTCTTTCTGCTACCTTGCACCATTAAACTGTGGGGTACTACTGAGTGAATGAACCACAGGCCGAATTCAGACTGATGGCTGTATACTCTTCCTTCAATTAACGTAATAAGAATAAGTTAATCACAAGGCCCCATCAAAGGGAAAAGGAGCTTTGGACTAAGTAAGTGGAGGTTGCTACAATTTAAAAGTTGTGGGTGGCAATTTTATTTTGGGGGAATGTAATCCCAGTCTTTGGGAGGGGGGGAATTAGGCATGTGACTGCTTCCTGGGAAAGGAGGGGAATTAGAGGGTGGAGAAGTGGAGCAATAGGAGGGGAGGGGGCTATGGGGAGGATAAATTAGGGTTAAGTGGTACAGGAGGGGAGAGATGTTATGGGGGGTCAGGTGAGGTGAGCATGGCACCCCACCGCTGAGCTCTTGCAGTGCCATCTCACATCAGCAAGTGCATCCCAACCCCCTGTACTGCAAACTTCCTGCACCGCACAGCGTTGCCAGTACACCCCAACTCCCCTGCACCCCACTGCTCTACCAGTGTACCCAAACTTCCCTGCATCCCCAGCTCTGCCAGTGCACCCCATGCCCCTGCATCCCCAGCCCTGCACATCCATCTTTGCCAGTGCACCTCAGTACGGCATACCTAGCTCTTTAGCGTTAGGTGGAATCCGGTGGGTGAGAGTGAATAGATTGTAAAAGGAGGTGAAGATCTTCAGCAACTCTGGGGTTGGCAGAGGGGAAGGTATGTGTGTTAACAGGCCATATGGGACGTTGCTGGAAGAGAGCAGGGTTAAGGTTGCATAGCCAACTTTAATTGCACTTTTCCTGATTTTCAGAATTTTGAGTTTCGTTCAACTCAACGTTCTGCACTGCAGCAACACACCACCAAACAACTTTAACTCTGTGTCAGTGTAGGGGTGGGGTGGGGGTTTTGCCACTGAATTAGATGAATACATTGGGTGAAATCCTGGCCCCACTGAAGTCAATGGTACTTTTGCCATTAACAGCAGCGGGGTCAGGATTTCACCCATTATATATTAGTTCTCTAAAATAATATCACACTCATTCTTCCGTCTTCAACGGCTTCACATCAGAGTGTCCCTTCCCTCTAGCAAAGAGAAGTGTAAAAGGTTTTCTCGTGTCCCTGGTCCACTGAGTTGATCCTCAAGACAGCCAGAGGAGTTACTCAAGAAATATTCGAAAGATTCCTTGACACCTTCCCCCAGAAGCTAAGGCATCTACATTTAAAGGATTTCCACCCCCTAATGGCCAGGGAAGATGAGGCTGATATTAAGCCCTGAATTTATCTCTACTGTATGGCTGGCTTCTGTCTTAAAATCTGAATGTGTCTCCATCTTCTGTCTATGTCAGGGTTTCTCAACCCATGGGTCGGGACCCGAAATTGGGTTGCTAGAATGTTTCAAAGGGTTGTGTGGCAGTTCATGTGGCTCTTGTCGCACAGGGCTGGCTGGGCTCGCCTCCCTGCTCCAGGAACTGCAATTTCTGGGGTCACAGCACCACTCAGGTTTGGCCCAACCATCACGATGATGGGCATCCAGGTAGGCCAAATTTGAATGAGTGGCGCTGCAACCCGATGAGTCAGGTCACAACTCCACTCACACAAATTTGGTCCAGTCAGGGGGGTGGGGCTAAAACCTGAGTGGCTCTCGAAACCCCAGAGGTTGCAACGCCCAAAGCCGAGAACCAGCCCCAGAGCAATGGAGCTGCAGGAGCCGCCACTGTGGGATGGCCGCCAAGGTAGAGTGAGTGCTGGACAGGACCCAACCCCCCCCCCAGTAAGGTTGCCAACCCTCCAGGATTGTCCTGGAATCTCCAGGAATTAAAAATTAATCTTTAATTAAAGGTTATGCCATGTGATGAAATCTCCAGGAATACATCCAACCAAAATTGGCAACTCTATCCCACAGGGGGCAGGACCTGACTGAAACCACCCCAGGGCCTTCACCCCCAGACTATTTCGTGGGTCACAACAGGCCATAAACGTTTACAAATAGGTCCTGACTCACAGAAAGGTTGAGAACCACTGGCCTATCTCATATATTCTCCCTTTCATCATTTTCTTGCTATTGAAGGGATGTGCCACAAAGTGACCCATCCAACCTACCAAGGCTCCCTGATTGTCTACCCCAACTCTGACCCCAACGTAGGTTAGAACGGCATGGGGGCTACTCTGACTTCTGCTGGCAGTCCCCTAGGGACATTTTCTCACCCTTGATGTGCTCCTCCCCGTATGCAGGAGCTTCGTTTGCTCTCTGTCCACTGGGGATTCCCCCACAACAGGGATATCCCCTACAGGGATTTGGGGTTCTTTCCCACTCCTGCCTGAATGGCGCAAAGAGAGCAGACTGTCCCCTGTGCATAGTGAGTGGTTTCATTTACTTTTCCTTACCTCAGTAAAGCATATCACATGATCTCTGGAAGGATAATTAGGGAAGTGAAAGTATTTACTGGCTACTTCTACAGTGAAAATATCTTTGCAGCTGAATGCAACCATCCTCATCATGTTTTAGCTGGCTGAGCCAAGCACCCTCAGGTGGGACTGGTTGTGATTGATGGTTCACAACATTAACCTTTAACAAGGTCTTCTTTCTTTTTTACTTGCAGAATGTCAGCTAGGGCTGCAGGAGAAACAAAGCAGCTGTAGCTTGTAAGATTTGTTGTGATCAGCCGTAGGTTTTTAAGAGCAGAGTAAAGCTGCAAACACCTGCACTAGTGTAACACAGCCAGTAACATCGCTGTCACATGCAGAAATTCATAGATGAGACATTCTTTCTCTTTTGTTTGTCATAAAAGAATCTCTTCTGAGCTTTGAAAGTAAAGAAAAACAATGAGACAAAGATGTAACCGATCACCAGAGACATGTATTATATTACCTGTCGGAATATTCCTCAAATTACAAACAAAGGTAAGAAAGAATGGAGCAGCATCTAAAATGGAATGCACTCATTGCAAGGGCATAGACAAGTTTTGCCTAAAACTTGCACTATCTATGTTTTTCCTGATTTTTCTTTTCTGAGGATGGGCCAGGTCTGTCCCATTGGCATCAGAGGGGAAACTACCATTGACTTCGGCAGAAAAATGATCAGACGCTTAGCGTTCCAATAAACACACACTTCTGTGTTTTGTGACCTGTGCCATTGAATACCTGAGAGATTTCCATGAAGACATTTAAACACATCGTTAAAAGTGCAAGACTATGGTTATGCTGGTTAGAAAGGAAGGATTGCTCAGTGGATAGGGTGCTGACTTGAGAGACCTGGGTTCAAGTCCCTGCTGAGCCACAGGCTTCCTGTGTGACCTTGGGCAAGTCAATCTCTGTGTACTTCCGTTCCCCATCTGTAAAATGGGGATAATAAAACTGTCCCACCTCACAGGAGGATGAGGCTAAATACACTAAAGATTGAGAGTTGCTCAGATGCTAGGACAGTGGGGGGCCGTTACACATACCTAAGATATCTGGCCATGGGAGTAGAGCCAGCGGCTAACCTGCTGAAGGCCATCTCAGCTCCATGTTGGACATAGCTGAAATTTTCACCGGTGGGACTAGTAGCATTAAAGCATGTTTCCACTGTGCTTCCTGAGAGTATGTGATCCACTGTATAATTAGGGAGCTTATCCACCAGGTAAGGACTCGTGATGCCTTCTGAGCAAACCTGTCCCTCACCCTCTAGAAGCAGATATGTGATGTTGGCCTTGTTAATCAGTCCAGGGTTTGATGGCCAACTGTGGGGTAATTCTCTCTCTCTTTTTTTTTGTAATTGAGTGAATGACTTCTCAAAAACATATTTTCCCCCCACTAGGAGATGACCCATTCCTGGCCTCCACCTCTTACTGCTATTCACACCCCCGGCAAGGCTGAGCAGACCAAGTTTTCCATCCCAAGCAAGGTGCAGGTAGGTTATTAATTATTATTCATTCAGATATGAGTGATCTTCACTAGACACTTTGACCCATATCCTCAAAGATATTTAGACTCCTAACTTCCATTGAAATCAATTTTAGGAGCCTAAATAAGCCCAATTTGAAGATCTGGAACTTTACTTTTGTGATTTGGTTTCATTTTCAAAATTCTCTTGAGATGAAAATTCTCTTTAATATGAATTCCAAATCAGCCAATTGTTATTGATAGGGCTGCTTGTTCAGAACTTCAGAAGTTACAGTAAAGGATAAAAGGAAGGTGAATCTTATCTATGTTTTCAAACGAGTCTTTTATTACAAATAATATTTACAATATGCTTATTTTTTCTCCCGTTGTTTGTGTAACACACTGGCCAAGAGTATCTTTGTCCCCACTGAAACCACCAGTATATGGGTGAAGAAGTATATGGGTCTGTTCCTCCTCTACAGTTAAAAGGACTGGTACTTTAGCAAAGTCCCAGATTCAGTCCCTGCAGATGACCCAACCTGCAAGTGGTGACTTATACTGAGATTTGAACTGCTGTGGATCTCTGACACTTGGAGTCATACTTTCTGGGGGAGCTGGAAATGTTACCCCATAGCGTGGGGTTTTGTTCTTCCCTCAATGGGCTGGACCGTGTCAACAGTTTCTGAGGCTGCTACAGCTTTGAAGACAATAAAAAGCTGATTCTTTTTACTCAAGCAATAGAGGTTTTTGCAATCATGCACTATTTCAGACATTTAAAATCAGTTTTCCCCTCACCAATTGTGTCCAGTTGTCACTATTTGCCAGAGATTCTCCCATTCCAAACCCTGCCTTCATGTGTTGGCTGAAGCTAATGTGAAATCAGTGTGGCTATTGCTATTAAAACAAAGCAAACGCCTACCATGCCATATTCCAGCAAAACATCATTGTTCTGCTCCACTACTGACAATGGCAATGCACTTACATGCTCCTGCATTAAACATCACAGGACAGATTCATATTTGGGTGCAACTCCTAACTAAGCTGAATACTCCACTTGTTTATATTACTGTAAATCTGGCTAAACGCCACAGAATCCATTTAGGTCAAAGTGGATTCATACCTATATGAGTAAGCATGGAGTCTGGCACACTGGAAGCTGTATCTTCTTAAATTAGAGCAGGACTAAATTCAGTGCTGGTTGTGTTGTTTTTTTTTTTTTTCTGGGCCCTCCAAAAAGGGGACCATGTACTGCACTCCTTTGCTAACTTCAATGAGAGTTTTGCATTTAAAAAACCTGTGAGGTTATGATAAACGTTATGAAATATAAATCAGGCTTTTATAAAATCACACTTTAGGAAAGAGGAAAGAACATGGATGTTTCTAAGTTAGTTAACTTTACTGTGAAAAATACAGCATAAGATTGCCTACTCAGAACGTCCCACTAAATCAGTTAGAGAGAGCCAAATTGATAGGTTTTAGAGATAAAATAGATAAGAACATGTAGTCAGATAAACCTTATTATAGGTCCTCATCTTACATAAAATAATTAAGTCTCCCTATTTGTAAAATAATGCAATAGAAAAGGCAGAACTTATCATAACAATTTATTTATCCCTCTGACACTCAAATTTAAAGTGCTGTGTTTATTCTTGAAGGCATGATTCACCTCACAAGGGACTGACTAACAGTGCAGCAGAATATTAGGAACTAATAATGCCCTGAGAGAAAGTGTAGCGAGGGCTTTAATGACTTTAACATCTACAGATCTAAGACTTTTAACAAAGTGGTGCCTGTCTATAGGACTAGATTGTAAATAATGGCTTAATTTAAAATCATCACAATCTACTAGGGCCTGCTTGAGATGAAGGCTGATTTGGCATCAGGTTGATTGTAAAGCTTCATTGTTGATTGTAAAGCCAAGGGAAAGATCAAGCAAGAAAAGAATGTGAAATTAAGAATGTAGTTATACGTTACTCTGAGTCAGTGAGAAGCACATTGTTTGCAAAATGCTGTGTGCGCTCCACACTATGGGCCAGATCCTGAGCTGATGTTAAGTTAGTGCAGCTTCATTCATTTCACTGGAGCTTCACTGGTTTACACCAGCTGAAGATCTCACTCCTGTGTCTTTGTCAAGTGTACCTAAGATAGCACTCCAAAACATCTTGAATTTCAGTTTTAGATAATGACATTTTAAGCAAAAAAGAAGAGTAATGCTGCTGAACTTAATGCATAGTTATTTTAAAACTCAAGATCAAGTTCAGCCTATGCAAATGCTTCCCATTATCTTAAATGGGAACCACATGTACACATCTGTGGGTAAGACTTTAAAGGGCCAGATCATCAGCTGGTGTAAACTGATGTGTGAATTCCACACTGAAACTAAGTCAGTGTACACCAGCTGAGAATCTGGCCATTTGGGCTTAAAATAGGCTAGGTACTGAGCAGTGCAATTACACTTCAGTAGCATTCTTATGTACAGATAATACAGTTTTTAAAAAAAATTGTGGTGTTCTCTTCTCAGGCACATGCTCTGGTGTATTTTCCTTCTCTGTTTATGTTATACTAGTGCTCTTAGTCTAACAAGGGAAGATGCATCTACCGTCTTCTTCCTTTCAGTGAACTAATTCTGACATTTTTATGTTCTTCATTGTAGGATTCCCAGCACCCGACCTCAGGATACAATGTACAAAGTAGGTCTTTATTGTCCTTAATCCAAACAATCAGGGTTGGTTGAGTTTTTGTTTGTTTGTTTGTTTGTTTGTTGCCTACTTAACATCATTAATACAAAGATGAAAAATTAATTTCTAAGGTGCTAAAGCAGATCTGTTCCATTTTTGATTACATATTATGCATTGTGGCATGTTGTGAAACTACGTATAATTAGGTGGGTTGAGAGCTTAGGGCAACAGTAATCTTTTGACATTTGGAAATATGTTTCCTTTGTTTACAGAGTGGAGTGATCCAGCAGGGAAAGTTGCCACCAAGTCAGTGCCACAAAAGTCGTAAGTATTGTTACTTCCAGCTTTATATTTTGTTTTACGTTTATCTTAAGGAATGATCTTAGTTCTCCAAAGGTAACTGAACCTAGCTTACATACAATCTTGTCCTGGCATTCTGGTGTTCTCAACAGTGCTTAAAAATTAGCCACAAACCAGTTTTTTCTTCTGCGCTTATTACTGTTTCTTCTTCTTAAGCATTAACTAACAGAGGTGTATATATAAAAGATGAGTTTATTAAGCAAAATGAATGCCAATTTTATTTGTACAGCTTGCCAAAATTAAATCACTTTTAATTTGTCATCAGATGCTAAGCTTCTTACAACAGAAAATTCAACCTGATGAATAGCTGATGGAAGAATTTTAACATTTATTTACTGAAGGAAGAGTAAAATACATTATATATTAGGCTTATGCAAGCTGGCTTTGAAAAAACAGGTCTTGAATTGTATACACATTGGGACAGTTGACAATCACACACTTAAAGAAAATCACGGAGGACCTGATTATTCACTGAGTTACATCCTTTTCCATTATGTTGTGCTGGTGTAAAACTGGAGTAAGGCAGAAGTGAATTGAGACCACAATATTTTGCACCTGAAGTGCTTTACAAATATGAATTACTTAGCAACTTTGTAAAATAGGTTACTATTATAGTTGCCATTTTACATATGAGCAAAGTACATATGAGGCTTGGATCTGGCCTAAATTCAGAGCTGCATCACTTTAACTACTGGAGTGTTTTTTAAACTGATTTGGTTAAACCAAGATACACCAATTTGTACTAGTTTAACTAAAATGTGTTTAAACCCCTGTGTGGACACTTGGATGGATTTAGAAGTGGTTTATAGCAATTTAAGCTAAACCAGTATAAGCCAGGTTAAATCAATTTTAACGTGTCTACACCGCATTTTTGAATTGATTTAATTAAATGGATTTTAAACCAGTTTTAGTTAAATCAGTACAACTTTGTGCACAAATGAGGTCTCATTGAGGTCAAGTCATATGGCAAGTCAATCACAGAGCTGGGACTAGAATCCGGGCATTCCATTCCATTGTTTTAACCTCTGGACTCCTTGACTCATGAAATAAAGTCATGCAACTTTTCTCATCTGAGTAAAGCTACTTGAATGAGTAAGGATTTTCAAAATGAGTCTTTAACACCGACCCTCTAAATTCAGTGTATTTAATTCTTCTGATTGGATGCAAAAATTGAAAGTCATCATTTAAATTTTAAGGAGAATTATGAAATCTGGCTAACGATAAAAATAAATTGGCGCACGTGAGCGATATTTATTTTTCCAAAATTATCATCAGATTAGTCCTTCCCTTATTCTATTGTTATTTCTGGAAATGATTTCAGATTTAAAAAAATATCTCACCCACTGGACCCTCTATCCTGAAAAAAGAAAGGATAAATTCATATGCCAGAATCTCTAAGTGATGCAGTGCTTACATGAAGTACTTTCTCTCGTAAAACATAAAAAATATTACTACATCTTAAAGTGATTTTGCTCCTAAAGCAAGTGTATTTGGATTCCACTGTGAAAAATATTTTGGTGAGTATACTATAAAATACAATATTTCAATAGTTTGTATCCAACAGTAATAGACTTGTCAATCATGGTTTATAGTTATAAGCTGAATTTCAAAAGAACAGCGCTTCATAGCTCAGTGGTATATAGTGCATTTAATGGGACCAAAGCTCTCTATAGGAAGCCTGATATAAAACTCGAAGACACTGAGTACATTTTATGAACCAGTTGCTCTCTATTCTGCTGCTTGATCTAAAATTCCAGTACTATCAATCAGATTTCTGCTGGAATGAACTGCCTTCTTATGGTCGGTGATGGATTTTACACATGACAGATCAGAGCGGCAATGAAGTTACTTTTATTTTTAGCTTCCAAATGAAGATCAGCTAACCCGTTACTATAATTTTTTCCCTTTCACTACAAAGAAATTGTTAAGGCAACTTCCAAGAATTTCCATAGGTCTTTGGGAAGGTTATATTGCTTAGGAGGCAATCCATTGTGCCGCTTAAAGTATGGTAGGCAAGACTCTGCCCTTAGATCTGCATGTACAGCTTCCACTAACTTCAGCTGGAGTTGGTTGCACATGCCTGAGGAGAGAATGAAAGCAAAGCAGATTGTGGGTGAAACCAATGATGATATTATCAAATAATCATAGCTAGATGGCAGATTTATTGATCCTGCTATCGTTATCCATTTTAATAGCAAGATATTTACGATTCTGTGGTTCCATAATTCCTGAGGTATGGTTGGGATTCTAGGATCTACTGGTAAAATTATGGTTCCTGCATATACCAGCACCATTGCTCCATGCTATAGAGCACACACCCTAATCTTAGCTCTGTCCCTGCTGGGATTCTTGTCTCTAACCACCAACTCCACGTATCTCACTTACAGTGCTGCTAACTGGATCTGTTTTTCACTATTTCATCTTGAGCTGCTGCTGCTAAACAGATGTGGCACAGGTGTGTTCACCTCTTTCTATCCATGGTGGGAGGTATCTTTGCGCTGGACACGTGTGTGAGTCGATGTCACAGTTGTCCTTCATCTTGTTTATGATTACATGCAAATCTTATGAAACCTGAGAGTACCTGTCCCATTAATATCACTCCTGTTGGCAATCGTATTGATCCCATCAGTTCTCTCAGAAATCTGCTTGTGATCTTTGATCAGGAGTTGGAGCAAAGGTACTCACATTCATCATATTACCCAGCTATCCTCCTGCCAGCTTAGGAATTAGGTGCTATTTATAGGCCGGTGCCAAGATTCTGGAACATGCTTTGGTCACGTTGAGACTTGATTACATGCTGCTTTACTCTGCTCCAATAGACAATGCTCTGTGCATGTCAGGGTCAGAATTAAGGTTTTTATGTATGGTGTGTGGTGTATGGTAGAAAGGTGTGTGCCTGTAGGTGCACGAACACAGAGTATTTACTGTCAGATGGCTTAAGTTTCCATTTCCTTGCTTGTATGGGTTTGTGTCAGCATGTTATTATGGTAACCTAAATTGTTTCACAGCCAAGTATTTTTGTGTATGAATTTTTTACTTTTTTAATGTTTAAAATATATAATGTCACACTCAAACTCAGGGGGCATGAGAAACCACAGCACAGTGCAGGAGATCAGATGGGGTGTGTTGAGTTGTGTCAAGGAACGGGCCCACAACGGCCTAAAGGCCTGATCCTGCAAACACATATAAGTAACTTGACTCATGAGTAGTCCCACTGAAGTGATATTTTTATTCCTAGCCATACAATTTTAATATGAAATTTATATATAGATATATCAAAAAGGTATTGTAGCTGAAACCAATAATAACTGTATCTAGCTCTTATGTAGTGCTTTTCTTCAGTAGATCTCAAAGCACTTCACAACTTTTAATGTATTTATCCTTCCCCTGTGAGGTAGGGTGCTATTATTTTCCCCATTTTACAGATAGCCTCTCTGTGTCTCAGTTTCCTAAGTGACTTGCCCAAGGTCACACTGGAAGTCTGGTGGAGCAGATAACTGGACCCTGATTTCCCAAGTCTTAGGCTAGTGCCCTAACCACTGGGCTATCCTTCCTCTCCAAAGGATGATCCAGGATTGTGAAAAAACTACAGGACTTGGCTTCTCATCTTCTTCTTCTTCTCCTTCTTCTTTTTTTGACCAGTCCTCAATAACACTTGGCTTCTCATCTTCTTCAAAAAAGCAAACGGGATGTTAGGAATCATTAAAAAAGGGATAGAGAATAAGACAGAGAATATCTTATTGCCCTTATATAAATCCATGGTACACCCACATCTTGAATACTGGGTACAGATGTGGTCCTCTCGTCTCAAAAAAGATATACTGGCATTGGAAAAGGTTCAGAAAAGGGCAACTAAAATGATTAGGGGTTTGGAACGGGTCCCATATGAGGAGAGATTAAAGAGGCTAGGACTTTTCAGCTTGGAAAAGAGGGAGACTAAGGAGGGATATGATAGAGGTATATAAAATCATGAGTGGGGTGGAGAAAGTGAATAAGGAAAAGTTATTTATTTGTTCCCATAATATAAGAACTAGGAGCACCAAATGAAATGAATGGGTATCAGGTTTAAAACAAATAAAAGGAAGTTCTTCTTCACTCAGCGCACAGTCAACCTGTGGAACTCCTTGCCTGAGGAGGTTGTGAAGGCTAGGACTATAACAGGGTTTAAAAGAGAACTGGATACATTCATGGAGGTTAAGTCCATTAATGGCTGTTAGCCTGGATGGGTAAGGAATGGTGTCCCTAGCCTCTGTTTGTCAGAGGGTGGAGATGGATGCCAGGAGAGAGATCACTTGATCATTACCTGTTTGGTTCACTCCCTCTGGGGCACCTCGCATTGGCCACTGTTGGTAGAAAGGATGCTGGGCTGGATGGACCTTTGGTCTGACCCAGTATGGCCATTCTTATGTTTTTATGGTTGTTCGTTTTTTTCTTATAGATTACATATAGTACAATAAATTGATAACCAGTCTACTCCTATTAGTTTTTTATGAAGCATAGTAAGGAGCAAAAGATAAGGTGCAACCAATTGCAAGGAGAAGGATCATCTGTCAACATCCATGAATTCAAGAGTATGTAGTCAGCCCTTGACTGAGGTTTGTGTTATATAATTACCATTGAGAGTATGTCATCCTCAAACATCCAGTTCTTTTGTTCTGTTTGGTTGTTAGCACTTGGCCTGTGTCCAGTTGGAAAGCACCCAGAACCTTTTTAATCAAGCACATCCTGTGTTCTAAGTCATACTGCAGAGTACTCTTGGGTAGTTTCCATAAAAGCCCAGCTAAAAAGAAGAATGTAAGCATAATGGTATTCTTTCCTTGTCATAAAATGTCTTCCTATACTTATTGTATTAACACAGTATTAAAAGGTCCTACTCATGGATTCAGTGAACTATCGGAAACCATTAAAAACTTGGAACAGGAAAATTTAATGGGTCGGACAAAAACAACAACTTGTTTTATCTT